TGCTTCAAGTTATTAATTATATGGAGGACAACTCCCATCATGCTTATTTAGTATGAACTGTTTTCTTGCTTTGCAAATACTCTCTGCTACCTGCTTAATGTTTCTATTGAAGATTATTTCCAGCAACCTAAAGAATCTTATTAAAAACTTCTCTGAGGAAATACCTAGTAATGAACTTTGTATTGTTTGATAACCTGCACTTTCTTCTTATTGGACTATTGCCTATGTGCAATTCATTTAAGTTTATCAATCATTAAAACTTCGTTTGATTCTCAAATTGCCAGCAATCCTCTCTTTTCTTAAAGCTACAGTATTGATACTTTAAAGATTCTTCATTTCTTTACTATTGTAATTAAGGAATTCTACAAGCTGCAGTTGAGTTCCAATCCAAATAACCCAAGTAGCATAACACGTGACACCCGCGGCCGTCAGTGCGTTGCCACGGGTTACCGTGGCAACGCTCCGCGCGGCACACAGACTACGAGACTTACACTGTGAGCAGAACGGAGCGGACAGGGGAGTCGCACAGAGGAGAAGGGAGCTGACAGGAGCTGCAGGAAAGGTAAGTAACAGCTCGCTGCCAGCCCCCACACTAAACAGCCAATGCCACTTTACCACCAGGGATTAACATAGCCCCCTCCCTGGCCAGGCAACAAACAGGGAGGGGGGACAAAAAAAACTATTTAAAAAAAATTAATACAGATATTAAAATAAAATAATAATAATATTAAAATAAAATAATGATATTAAAATAATATAATAATAATATTAAAATACTATAATAAACACACACACTGCATTTACACAAACACACACTGCATTATATACATACTGCATTCATTATATACACACACAACACACAAACACACACTCTGCATTCATTATATACACACACTGTAAATAAATATTCAATTAATGTAATTTTATTGGGATCTAATTTTATTTAGAAATTGACCAGTAGCTGCTGCATTTCCCACCCTAGGCTTATACTCGAGTCAATACGTTTTCCCATTTTTTTGTGGTAAAATTAGGGGCCTCGGCTTATATTCGGGTCGGCTTATACTCGAGTATATACGGTATATATATTGCATCATAATGTAATATATTGAGCAAATAAACAAATGTTCCCTCTGGGAACCAAAATTGTTTGGAGAGACACTTATGAATAGAGCTGAAACATGATATAATTAAATTAAAGTCCCAATAGGAATAATTGTGCAAAGTAAAGTGTAGAGAAAGTAAAATTAAATACTATATTAGACTATACCTACGCATACCAATGCTAGAGTACTGTGGATTTCCTTTAATATGTTGCTTGGAATAAAGTTGCGTGGTATGTCTACTAAATGCTCAAATTAAAAGAGGGGGGAGGTGTCAAACAATGAAGAAAGGTACTGTTAAGGAGGAACAATAAAGTCCTCAGAGACACTTATGAAGGCTTAAAGTATAGCTCTTCCTGAGAAGTCTCACAGTTATCTCCGCTAAGGGTGACTAAATAGATCTGTGCTTACAGCTACCCAAATGGGCTTAATCCTTCTAAATAAACAGAAAACGTAAAGAAAGCAAGCCAAGCAAAAAAGGTGTCAGATCTACCTCTGATAAACAATATGTGTTATCTCAAAGAGGTAGTATGCTGAAGCCTGTACAGTAAATCAATATCGTAGAGGTTAACTCTAACATACATGGACAGACTGTCAGAAAAACTTAGACTGATACTAAATGAAGTTATGAAGAGTAAAGTATCAGACTAATATTATGTAATAATTCCGTTCTAGCTGTCAAAGACCGAGCTGGTTCTGAATAAAAGCTGTCAGGAACAGAGTTGCAAACTAACCATTATGTAATAAGATGCAGTTTCGTTTTATCTGTCTCCTACCCAGACTCCCTCAATAGGTCTCCCTCATGAGAAGTGGTCGTAGAACCAAAACAGTATAGCCCATGTGCAGCTAGTACTCTTCAGACTCCCTCGGCTAACTAAACAGAACAAGTACTTCCGATAGACAAATTTTGTGCTAAGCGTCTAATTAGAGGGAGATTAACATACTCTAAGAAAAATTGAGTTTTCTTATAGCTGCATCCTATGAGTTTCCCTCCGGCAACATCTTTACCAGATACATGATGCTTGGGAGGTAGGACTGTTTTAGGCGATAAGATTCTGTACTTAGGCCCCTCAGAATTGTCAGCACCAGGCCTTAATCTGGCCACGTATAGATTTATTTTATTATTTTTTTCCCCATGTGGTGGCTGGCTAGCAAGCACTGGCCAGCCGCCACATAATTAACTCTTGCACACCAAAAAGGGTCAGATTTAAAAAAAAAAAAAAAAACCTACTCTGAGCCCAGACTTGAAGCATCTAGGCAAAGCATAGTAATACACCAACAAGCAGGGGGGCTGAGGGTACAGAAATCTCTCAATAAAAAAAATATATATAATTGTTTTATTATATTGAATGTATTGATAAATATTGATACTGTTATAATGCCATTCACCAAAGAAAGAC